TGCATACATGCCATGTACAGCTAACTGAAGCATACATTTATGCATAAGGGATAGGGAGTTTTCTGCATCAGGAAGCGTGAACATGGCATGTATGCACTAGTTAGTGCATGCTTGGCAGGCATGCGCTAGCTAGAGCGTGCTTGCAGGCATGCTCCAGTTAGAGCATACTATGTACACTCTTTGATTTGTAGAGTGTCCTTTTTTTCCCCTTCAGGAGAATGCTTAGTGTTCTTTTGTGTGCTGTTTTCCTCCCACTCCCAAGTAAGCTAAACGTTTGTTTTTTTGTTTATTTGTTTTTCCTCAGGAGGGCGCAGCAGGCTCGGTGATGGAACCTGGCGTCACCATCGAGTACGAACATCCCAACCACGCCGAGTTTGTGGCCGCAGTGAAGCAGGCTCCTCGCATCAAGAAGCTGCAGCTGCAGCAGTTGCACCGGTCCGATGATTTCGTGGCCAGATGGAAGCCTGACAAGCACATCGAGGCAGTTCTCAAGGTGAGTGACGAGAGCATCGGAAAGCCACTGGTAAGTTTGCTTGCCACAAATTTGGCAAGCCGTTTTGAATGTCAAAAATTGGCAAGCTTGGACCGGAAATACTCCCCGGCTGGCCAAAATTTGGCAAGCTTTTGAAAATTTCTGGTCAAAGCTCGCCAAGTTTTGGCATTCGGAACGGCTTGCCGAAGTTGTGGCAAGCAAACTTACCACTGACTTTTTCAGTGAGCAGGGCAACACTCTGAAACCAAGTGCGGAGGGCTCGACACTTGAAATGTGGAGGTGTGGAATTTTCACTCTCCGCTCTTTGACTGTGCATAGGCCTTGTTTGCAGTCTCAACATTTTAAGTGTCGAGTTCTCCACACGGTAAAAACGGTACCTGGTTTTCTCAGGAAGCCTATGGTAGAGACATACGCGATTTCCAGGGAGTTCCTGGGAAAACCAGGATCCGTTTTTACCGTGCACGTTTGCGCCATGCTTAAGGCGGGTTCACGAGTCGCTTGCGGCGAGCTGCTCTGCGTTGCGGTGACCTGCGACGCGCTGGCGCTCCGCATCAAGCGCGTGGGCGCAGGCGGTGCCGTTCAGGAGTTCCTTGCGCGCATAGGTCGCTGCGTTGCGGTGACGAGCCCTGCGTTGATTTTCAAACACGTTTGATATTCTCCGCAAGCACGTCGCCGTAACGCAAGGACAGGAGTAGTGGGGGATGCTGCCACTGGCTGCCGGGCGACGCGGGACTGCGCGGGCCAGCGCGGGCCGGCCTGCAAGTGGGGGTGGGGGTAGGGTTTCTACAGGGTGGGGGGGGGGTTGTGTCGCCGAGCCGTGCCTAGCCGCGCCTAGCGTTTCCGCAGCTCTGTCTCCGCAACGCAAAGAAACTCGTGTGCAGGCACGAATTCCGAGCACCTTGCCGTAGCGCAGAGCAGCTCACCGTACGCAGAGCAGCTCGCCGCAAGCGACTCGTGAACCCGCCTTTAGAGAAAGGACTTCGTGACCTGCTCCACACTCCGCACTCCCTCCACATGAAGTCTAAGTGTAGAGATTCACTCAGAGGGAAGTGTCCAGTTCTCCTTAATTTGTTTGACAGTGAAGAAACAACGAACCACTGGGAACTTGATCTTATTCATTTGGACGATTTTAATCTATGACCATCATATTTAGATTCCATTTCGAAGCGTTTTGCGATATCTCACCTCGTTTGGTTGCGATAGAACATCAAAGAGTCCATCATACATAGGTCACAAAACCCTGTTTATTTTATCCTCGAAAATTTTTAGACTTTTGGTATTGGTTCGTTACGTGTGCGGAGCTGGATATTACGGCGACGATGAAAACAATTTCCAAGACATTAAGAGACGTATTTATGTCTTTTTTTCATGTTTTGTCCATTTGCAAAGCAGCTTATTGTTTACTTCGACGAACCTATGCAATAGATCTGTTAAGTCTGGCACAAGACATCTCTGACTGAACATGCGTTTGCTATGAATTTGCTTGCAGGCTCTGGAGGAAGGTCCGAGCCATGTCGAGGAGTTGGAGGTCTACGACGCGCACTGGGCGCAGTGTTACGAGTACAGCGACCGCTTCGTGGAGCTGCTCAAGAAGTACAGTGGCACCTTGCGCTACCTCAGCATCACGAACCGCGCGCTGGTGCAGCCCAACCGGAAGAACAAGAAGCAGACTGTGATGAAGGTGAGTAGTTGCCGCCGGGCAAGCTGCAATAGGTTGGTCGCGTTGCCTGCTGCGTGTTCTCTGCAAACTCAACAGTGTACTCAGTACACTCTAGTTAGAGTGTGCTCATGAGTACACTCTAACTAGCGTGTACTCGGATGAGTACACTCTAACTAGCGTGTACTCAGATGAGTACACTCTAACTAGCGCGACTCAGATGAGTACACACTTTCAGCTGCATAAATTGCCAGGCGTGCTTAGGTGTGTACTCATCTGAGTACACGCTAGTTAGAGTGTACTCATCTGAGTACACGCTAGTTAGAGTGTACTTATCCGAGTACACGCTAGTTAGAGTGTACTCATCTGAGTACACGCTAGTTAGAGTGTACTCATCTGAGTACACGCTAGTTAGAGTGTACTCATGAGCACACTCGAACTAGAGTGTACTGAGTACACTGTTGAGTTTGCAAAGTTCATGCAGTAACGAGCACAAAGGTTTCTTTGGCAATATTTTTCCCAAGGCTTCTTCGTAAATTTTGGGAGAAGCCAGGGATAAAATCGATGAGCTGATTTGGTCTATGCAGTCCCTGTACGTACCACACTGTGTGCCAGAAGACCAGTGAAGGTGGCCAAAATTCTAGACGCTGCATTGCATTTCAGATTAGCTAAATGAGACTCGAGAGGAACGTGTGACCCCACCAATGGATTGCTCTCTGAGCGAGGAATCCAGAATCCATTGTTGGCGTCACACGCTCGCTTCGAGTCCAGTTTAGCGACTCTGGAGCTCAAAACGCGTTTAGAGGAAGGCCGCCGGCGCCGGTTTTCTCTCCCACTGTGAAGCGATGCTCAGAACTTCATTTGTTGTTCGTTTGTTACAGGTGGTGTCACGTATGCCGCGCCTGGAGCATCTCCAGCTTGTCTTTATTGACCACAACTTGTATTTCTACACGTACCGGGGCCAGTTCGCCAAAGCAAGCAGTGCAGCATGCTTCCCTGCCCTCAAGAACCTTGAAGTACATCTGCGGTTTGAATGGTAAGGCGCGCTCCTTTTTCGGTAGTTGTGTAACACTTAATATCTGATCCAGGAGGCGGAAAGGAGGAATAACCTGACTTATATCTGGATTGAGTTTTTATTTTATAATTGTGCCTCACAATGCACTCTGAATGTTGTACAGTGAAGATTCTCCATAGTATGGTGGTGCAGCTGACTTCATAACATACCATTGAGAATTCACTGTACCTTCCAGATATGTTGACGAATTTTGTTGATATTATGGAGAAAATCTCCACCATAATATGTTGATGCAGCATTTCACCTTAAGACATTTACAGTGTATATCATGCTAAGATCATGCTATTATTGCCAGGTATGAGCAACAGTTCTGCTATGCGACGCTGCCACTCCGAGACCGATACATGGAAGACTACAAGTACACGACGTTGACTGGCGGACACAAGGAGGAGTTCCAGGAACCAATGCTAGAAGACATTCTGAGAAACAAGAAGGACATCATCAGCTACCTGGACATGTCGGTCTTTGGGCCCACGACTTACCGTCTGCCCATCATCGACTGCTTTGCCGATCTCACGGAGCTCCGCGGCATCGGAGTCCGGGTAAGAGAGGAGTGCCTCGAGCAGTGGCCCAGAAGACCGGGTGAAGGAGGCGGCCAAAACTCTAGACGCGTTTTGAGCTCCAGTGTCGGTAAACTGGAGTCGAACTGAGCGTGAATCGCCCTCCGAAGGAAGAATCCAGTGGGGTGACACGTTCGGTGCCAGTCCTGCATAGCGACTCTGAAGATCAAAACGCGTCCGGGATTTGACTGCTTCCACCGGTCTACACTTTAAAAATAAATATTTGGCGATTCACAAAGTTACCTCCGAAGAAACTGTTGCCGAAGAAACTTTAGGAAATCTAAGAAGATTCTTGGCAATTTGCTAAGTTTCTTCCTTAATCCACGAACACTCATCCGATTCATCGGACACTCTTATAACCTTGGAAATGCAAAAGCAGCTTGTCATAGCAAAGATTTTCGAGCATCATAAGTTATCAAAGATAATATTTCGTAATTTAAGAACAAATTTTTTTTACAACAATCTAAGTTTTCTGTACCGTACCATGTGCTCAAAATACTTTATAAGATTGGAGGGTGCAAGTTCGCCAGGATATTGTTTGGAGTTTTAACCTGGTTTTAACTTAAGTTTAACTTTCTTAACTTGGGCAATATACTTCCTCGAAGTACCTTCGTAAATTCCCAGTTTATTTCTTGCAGTGTGTGGCGCTAAGATTACTTGCGTGTGCGTCTGTTCAAAGCCCTAAGTAATCTTGTTTTCTTTTAGGCGGAGTATGTGGAAGTCACTGCCAAGATGGTGCATTTGGAGAAGATCAACGTGCTGTTCCATGAGACGTCCAAGGAGAAGGTAGGTGTGCGTGGAGGAGGTTAGGTTTATTGGGAGGTCAGGTTGTACGGGTCACGAGGTTTCTGCACGACATCTTATCAGGGGCACGTTGCAGTTTCTGTTCGAGAGATACGGACCGTTGCACCGTAGGACAGAAGCCTGGCGCCAGCGGCCAGAACTCTAGACGCGTTTTGAGCTCCAGAGTTGGTAAACAAGGCTCGACCCGAGTGTGTGACCCCACCGATGGATTCCTCGTTCGCAGAGCAATCCATTGGTGGGGTCACAAGTTCGTTTCCAGTCCCATTTTGCGACTCTGGAGCTCAAAACGCGTCCGGCATTTTGACCGCCACCACCGGTCTTCTGGCCCTATGTGCGTCGGCATTTCATTGAATTGTCACCCCTTTTCGGTCATTCATTGTATTTCACACAATTTCGGCTAATGTCTCATCCCACGCACTGAGAAAATTTATTTGAGTCCTCACTTGATGAAAATTTCAAAGCTAATTTTCATAACAACAATGTCATCAAAACAATTGATGACATTGTTAATGACGCCCATGCAATAAGTACAGGAGCTTTGATGAAAGTGTCATCAGTTTGTGATGGGATCGTCATAATTTGAAAGGAGCTAATTTATTTAATACGTGCAACGCCTTCCCATGACCCCCTCCGATTTTGACCAAATTTTTTTTCTAAGATGCCCTTATGGTAAGAAAAAACATCCTAAAATATAAGGTCGCTAAAAAATTTATTGGCCGAGAAAACCAATGTTTTCTAAATTTGCCACTTTTTTTACTTAATTTGGGAGTTTCTTTACTACTCTGAGGTTTTTGGTGCTAAGTGGCTGAAAATTGATATCCTTATGTAAAATTGCCCAAGGAACAAGAATATGGTCACAGATTTGACCTACGACCGATATCTTGAGAAATACGTACCCAAAACGACCAAATTTTACTGAAAATACCCAAATTTTGGGGAAACGGTCAAAAATATTTTTTATCCACGATCCGTTGACGCCATTTTGTAGAAAAAGAGCTAATAAAGCCAATGAGCACACGCCCATGTTTGTAGCTCAAACCGTTTAGAAGCTGTAAGGCGTCAAAGTTGGAGGTTTTTTGAGGGGGCCTGAAAACCGGCACTTTTGACCTCTGCGCTCAATGTCCGGCACCCGAGCCGTACCAGCCATGATCCTTGCTTTCGAGGTGAGGTCTGCGTGCGCAATGGGAGTCAAGAAGAGGGTGAAGCGGCACAGCGTTTCTGAACAGGGTCCTCTTTAGAGCGCCTGAACAGCCGAGGGTTGGTAAGCTCACCAAACGGCGCTTGGAAAGCACTCGCCGCACCGTGGGCTCGCTCAAGGCCACGAACAATGCCATTCGGTGTAAGTCTATAACTGTCGCCCTCGACAAGCTTCGGATTCTGTTGGCTGCCCCTTCCTTCTCTCTCTTTCCCACATGGTCCAAAGCCGTTGCCCCCGACCCCTCAACCTGCCCCCAATACCGGATATATTGTGTGTTGATTCAGATGAATTTCAAGCTTTTTGTCGGAAGCTGTCGCCCTTTGGGAAGCTTAGGAAGTTCTTCGGAATCTGTCGGCGTTTCCCCCGGCGGTTTTCTCACTTTCCCAACCCTGAGGGGTCGAGGGCGAGGGGTTTGAAAAGTTGGGAAAGGGTGGAAAACAGCAAGGGGCAGCCGACGACTTGCGATTCTCTCCCGAACCTTCCTGAGGGCGACAGCTTGAGACCATAACCGAACAAAAGCTTGAAAATCGTCTGAAACAACACACAATTCATTGGCGAGCGATAGCGAGCCCTTGCCGTGTTTGGGCGCTCCAAAAAGTGACTGGTCGTGCGTCTGTCTGTCTGTAGCGTACACGCTCACGTTTCTCAGCAACTACAACACTAATAGATACCAAATTTTGCACCGAACATCCCCTAAAGGTCCCACAGGGGGAGTTTATCTTATATTCACGATTACTACCGTTTGAAATATTCAAAACATCTTTTTGAATAAGGTTCTTAGCGTGGTTAGGTTGGCAGCATATATAGCAATTTTTCATACTTGCGGCCGCGGCTCTCAAATACGGGACTGGCAAAACATTGGCAAATAAAACAAAATAGAGAGGAGAAGGGCTTAGAAGTGAGTTCGGTCTTAGTTTTTCGATATTCTAGAATGATTGAAACCCCTCCGGAGTGTCAACACAGTGAAATACGGAAAATGAAAGTGACAATTATTACGCGTTTCGTCCGTCCGTCCGCCCCCTCCCCTCCCCCGCCACAGGGGAAATGTTTTAGTCAGTGGAGTGTGTTTGATCGTTTGATAATTGCAAGAATGATTTGGTCTTTTTAAGTTTTGAGAGTGTATTTCCATTTTTATTCTCAGACATTATACTTTTTAGTTGTTTGCTTTGCTCAATAACAGTTAGAAAATAGATCAATGCAATCTAAAAGTACAAACCAGACACTAATCTTGCCAAAATAAATAGTCTTTGCTGACTCTTGGCACTGACTCTGGGGAAAGGCTTCATAGCAATGCTGTAAGTTTACTAAAGTACTAACCTTAAAGATAACTATATGGTGAGTGAGAGTAGCGCATACATGGTTTGACATTGACATCTGATTCAATGAGACGATTCAGTGACTTGGTCATATGATTTCATGAGACGATTCTTTTAAATTCATCATACATTGTCTGCGACAACTGGTAATTTGTGACAGTCATTGTTTGAGTTGGCTGTCTTTTTAATTTATTCAGAATGTTAGGTAAATACTTATGCTATACTGTTTTAAAGATTAAATATCACATCATGACTATCTTTATGAATAAGATTAACTTGCATTTAGCAATAAGTGGGCTCAACATTGAATTAAATGGAACGATTCATTGGATCTGACAGAAGGTCTTCTCCGTAAAGTAGTTGCAATCAGCCTGCCTGTAAATGTGTCTCTTTTTAATTAATTGAGATAAATCAATGTAGTTTTATCCACTAGTTTAAAATAAAAGGGAGATAAAAGGCTTTTTAGGTATTACTTATAACATTGTGTATTCATAAGTTCAATAACAAAGGGGATATCGAATGGTAATTGAAGCATTTGTGAATCGTATTAAGTAATTCAATGCTGGCTGTTGAATGTTACTCGACTGAGTAACAGTGTCAGGGTTCATGTTACGACACAATGAACAGGAAACACACTTAGAAATTGCGAAAATGACTTCCAATTTCATCCCAGACCATTACTTTTCCCAAAATTTTCCAATTTCACCAAAAATTTTTAAGTTGTGTTCTACATAGTTTCCTGCTTTTGGGTGTGCTGATCACGAAAAAGACTTCCAAATTTTATCCCCGACCTTTACTTTTTCCCAAAAATTTACCAATTTCGGACCAAAATTTTTGAGTCGAGTTATACATAATTTCCTGCAGTTTTTTGGGGTGCTGATCACGAAAAAGACTTCCAATTTCATCTCAGACCCCTTTCTTTTCAAAAAATTTACCAATTTTGGACCAAAATTTTTTAGTCGAGTTTTACATAGTTTCCTGCAGTTTTTGGTGTGCTGATCACGAAAATGACTTCCAATTTCATCCCAGACCTTTACTTTTCCCCAAAAATTTTCCAATTTGTGACCAAAAATTTTAAAGTTGAGTTTCCCATTGTTTCCTGCAGTTTTCAGTAAGATAATCACGAGAATGACATGAATTCCGGCCCTTTCGTGACGGAAGAAATTTATTGGCCTTATTGTGCACATATTCTTCGCCATCTCCTATAAGAATGTGTTCAGACGCATCGCTCGCCTACTACGCGCCCAAACTAAACGGCGCGTACCCCTAGTTTAGTGTTTGGGAGGTTAAGGGGTCGAGGGCGGTGGTTGGGCAATGTGGGAAAGGAAGAAGAAGAAGAGAGAGGAGGGGGGGTGGAGATTGCGGCCGACAGAATCCGAGGGGCAAACAACTTTGTCAAAAATTTTTACACCGTTATTTCAAATTCACGTTATTTCACGTTATTTTTTTTATTCCATTATTTCAAGGGTATTTCAACGTTATTTCGTGTTATTTCACGTTATTTTGCGCTATTTTACCGTTATTTCACGCTATTTCACGCTTATTTTGGCGTTATTTTACGCTATTTCACCGTTATTTCACGTTATTTCACGGAAAATGTACACCTAAATTCAAGTTGTTAGCCCCTCGACAGAATCCAAAGCTGTTCGAAGGCGTTAGCTCCTGCAAGGTTCAAAAAGGGTTTCCCTTTTCGCCCCAATTTGGCCTTTTTAAAGGGTAAAAATTTTATTTTCTCTGATTTTTCTCTTTTATTCGCAAGGTTCTCTTTTAAAGGGGTATAAATAGGTATTAAAAGATATTAATGATTTCCGGAGCGAAACGCTGAGCTAAGCAAACACCCCCACTACGCATTACACTTCATGCCAGCTTTTAAAATTTTTCCCCATCCTGGTTGCGATTTTCCCTAAGCTAATTTCGATTTTCCCTGAGTTTAATGCCCCTTTAAATTTCCCTTACTTCACTATGACTTCCCTTAATTCTCTGACCAGTGTGAACGTGTGAACCTTGCGTTGCCCTCGAGCTGTCGTTCGCACTCTCAGACTGTTATTGACTTGTCTCTAGTTAAAGAGCATTTAACACTGAGAATGAAAGAGTCATGATCATGACTCCCAAATTTGGGTCATAATACTATGCAGCTAAATCGCCCTCGACCCCTCAGGGTTGGGAAAGTGAAAAACCCCCGGGGGGAAACGCCGACAGATTCCGAAGAACTTCCTAAGTTTCCCCAAAAGGGCGACAGCTTCCGATAAAAGCTTGAAATTCATGTGAATCAACACACAATAATCCGGTATTGGGGGCGGGTTGGGGGGTCGTGGGCCACGGCTTTGGACCATGTGGGAAAGAGAGAGAAGGAAGGGGCAGCCAACAGAATCCGAAGCTTGTCGAGGGCGACAGTTTTAGACTTACACCGAATGGCATTGTTCGTGGCCTTGAGCGAGCCCACGGTGCGGCGAGTGCTTTCCAAGCGCCGTTTGGTGAGCTTACCAACCCTCGGCTGTTCAGGCGCTCTAAAGAGGACCCTGTTCAGAAACGCTGTGCCGCTTCACCCTCTTCTTGACTCCCATTGCGCACGCAGACCTCACCTCGAAAGCAAGGATCATGGCTGGTACGGCTCGGGTGCCGGACATTGAGCGCAGAGGTCAAAAGTGCCGGTTTTCAGGCCCCCTCAAAAAACCTCCAACTTTGACGCCTTACAGCTTCTAAACGGTTTGAGCTACAAACATGGGCGTGTGCTCATTGGCTTTATTAGCTCTTTTTCTACAAAATGGCGTCAACGGATCGTGGATAAAAAATATTTTTGACCGTTTCCCCAAAATTTGGGTATTTTCAGTAAAATTTGGTCGTTTTGGGTACGTATTTCTCAAGATATCGGTCGTAGGTCAAATCTGTGACCATATTCTTGTTCCTTGGGCAATTTTACATAAGGATATCAATTTTCAGCCACGTAGCACCAAAAACCTCAGAGTAGTAAAGAAACTCCCAAATTAAGTAAAAAAAGTGGCAAATTTAGAAAACATTGGTTTTCTCGGCCAATAAATTTTTTAGCGACCTAATATTTCAGGATGTTTTTTCTTACCATAAGGGCATCTCAGAAAAAAAATTTGGTCAAAATCGGAGGGGGTCATGGGAAGGCGTTGCACGTATTAAATAAATTAGCTCAAGTGTTGAAAATATCATCCACGTTTTGGCCATTAAGTGACACCAAATTTCACAGTGCGTTTAGCCACTGTACAAAAATCCGTACTTTTGTACGGAAATGATACAGAAAAATATAGTACGGAGGTACGGAGAAAAGTACCGAACGTTCCGTACTTGCTCCATATGAACCCATGTAAATGGGTACAGAAAAAAAGGACGGAACGTTCCGTAATTGGCAAGTACGGACGTTCCAGGCAAATTATTGACCAGACATGTTCCGTCCTTTTTCCGTACTTTTTTCTCACCGTGTCTCGCGTTTCGATTTCCAGTGTACTAAATCCTGTCATTTGGTTTCGCAGGCGGCTGCTGCGGCAGCCTTCATCAGGGGAGGGGGTGCGGCGGTGTGGTCGCGGGTCAAGACCCTCAACGTGGTGCCGACGCGCTACCGCGACGGCCGGCACCCCGCCTGCCCGGTGCGGACACACTGGCGCTGCGCTCTGCGGGCCGCGGCGGAACAGTGTAGCGAGCTGCGCCGCCTTGAGGTGGCGGGCGGCGACTGGAACGCCGACACCATCTCCACCTTCCTGCGCAACAACGCCCAGACGCTGGAGGAGGTAGGTTGACGTTTAAAGCCTTACAAAGTATTTTGAGCATACATAATACAAACTAATTCACTTTGTTATACGAAGAAATAGTTCGTAAATTACGAAGTATTTTCTTTGTAAGCTTATGTGTGCTCAAAAAACTTTATTATAACAAACTGCTTTTCTTTGTAAGGCTACGGTTTTCTCAGTGTTCTTAGAACACACTAAATTCTTATGTAGAGTTTTGTGCGGGTACTAAGCCCAAAGGAGGCCCCGAGTAGCACCAAGCGTTTGACCCCCACCGTCGGATTCTTCGTTCGGAGAGCAATCCATTGGTGGGGTCACACGCTCGCTTCGAGTCTCATTTAACGCCTCTGGAGTTGAGAACGCGTCCGGGATTTTGACCGCCTCCACCGGTCTTCTAGCCTACTGTGTGCAGCCGCAACGCCCATGGGCCGGCCGATCCCAGAGATCTAGTTCCTGCGATTACTCTGTCTGACTCTGTCAGTGCACTGCTAATTCAAGTGTGGATCATATTGATCCAGGCTTCAGGTCTACACTTAGTCAAATTAACAGGCCTCGCTAACAACCACTTCCCTCCACAGGTCCAGCTGACGGACTTCGAGGCGACCGACGAACACCTGGAGCTCCTGCTGGCCGTGCCCACACTGCGAAGCGCCAAGCTGAAGCGCCCCCCTCCGAAGGCAAGCGCCACGAAGAAGACCCGGAGGGGCAAGTCGAAGCGCGCCGCTCTGAAGGCAGACGCCGCGAAGGACGCCGCGGCAGTGCCGCCGTCGGAGTTGGAGAAGCGCGGAGTCGCTGTGGAGTGGCTGTAGTGGCAGCCGTTTTCACTGAACTACTCGGACTTGCGCCGTCGGGACCATACTGTTAATGCCCAGTGCCTTAGAATTATTATAGTGTTAGTCTTTAGAATTAATATCTTTCGGCGCAATGTTCTGCTTCTAGACCATGATAAGGTTTTATACTGTTCTTTTGTTTTAATTTAGTACTATTTCAGGGCTTGTTCCCTTTTATGTGTGTGTAGCACTTCAACTTAAGAAGTCTTTGTTTGCACCGTAATAGTTACCACTTTTTTTAACTTTATGGACGCAGTTTCCGTAGGGTTACCTACATATCCTGCTTCGAACAATAAATGACTTTGGAAAACTTGTAGTATTATTGGCAACACATTGGACTCTTCGAGACCTTTCTTCAGATTTTTCAAAACATGATACAAAACCCTCTGCATTGCAAACGTCTGAAATCTGCAAGTAACAACAACATAAAGACCCCTGGGTAAACTCTGAGGGAGGCTCCAAAAAGTCACACCGTTCAGTAATTTCAAAGCGTTTTAATGTTTTGTAGACAAACAAACGAGAGCTAAGATTGCAAATGAAAACAAAGGTGTATATTTACAATCGACATAGAAAATAACATTTTCACACCAAAGCAATTAAAACAGAACGCTAGGCTATAGGAATTAAAGAGCCAACCAAGCATGAAAAACAAGTTCGTGTTTTAACAGAACCAACAATAGACCTCTTTGCCGTTCCCACGGTCCCCCTCCCTGGACCACCGTCGCCTAGCAACGCGAGCCAAACAAATCTCGGGTATGCTGCCTGCTAGGCGACGCACGACGGATGCGTTTTTTGGTCATATCTCGTAAACTGTTAAAGCTAGATGGGTAGTGTAAGCGAGCCGATTGTAGTTTAAGCAGAGATCTACAATCGGCTCGCTTACTGAACACGTCTATCTTGAACGGTTTAGGAAATATAGCCGAAAAACCCACCCGCCGCGCGCCGTCCGGTGTGCAGCATACCTGCGATTTGTTTGGCTCGCGTTGCTAGGCAACGGCGGTCCAGGGAGGGGGACCGTGGGAACGGCAAAGAGGTCTATGTCAGCCACGAATGAAGCGCAAGAGAGACTCTGGGAAACACCAGCATCCAAACAGAACGACATAAAATCACTTCGAATAACAAGGAGCTAAGAAAATACAATTGTTACATCCATTTGAAGGAATTTTCTTGGTCATTAGATTACATTATGTAATGTCGTTACGAGCATCACCGTTCCATACCACACAGGCAGCGATGTGCAAGGACAAGTCAGCACTACTGCCATGGCAACACGAGGAGTCACAGAACGAAGCAAGCATGACAAACGTGAACCACAATCGGCTGAGGGTTTTTATCAATGGATACGAACAATGCCATGATTCTAAGTAAGATAAAAAACAGAAAGACTCTCAATTGCGACGAAGCACTGTCTTATGCGTCTTTCCAGGTGAAGTCTCCCAGAGGCGGGAATGCGGGGCACTCGTCACAATCCTCGCACATCACCTTCACTATTCTGACCGGCTTCTCCGAGTCCGTCGGCACTAGTTTGTCCCAGACGGACTGCTTCTGCTTTTGGCACGACTCTGACGCGTGAGGAAGCTTCTTATCAGGGTAGTCTGGAGCGGGTCTACGCACAAGCACAACGCGCCGCAGCGCCACCAGCCCGCACTGGCGCAGCCCCTCGGCCAGGTCCTCGAAGTGCCACGGATCGTCTCCCTCGGACGCGCACAGAATCCGCAGCTCCTGCAGTGTGGCGGCGTGGGCCTCCGCCAGGGAGAGGGCGGTGGAGACCGGCTGGAGGCGGACATCGAGCCACTGCAGGCCGCAGTGACCCGCGGGCAGAGGGGGGAACGCCACGTCGACCGCACCGTGTCTGTACCACCTCAAGGTGAGTTTCCGCAGCCTGGGCATCCGCTGCACCGACTGGAGGTGTTCCACTTCAACGTTCCGCACCTCCAGTTCCTGCAGTTGAAGCGGCAGGTCTGGAGCATTCTTGACAGAAGTTCCCAGATGAACGTATAAGCAGCGCAGCGCTGACATGTCCCTGATCACATCGAGGTGTTCCCGGAGGGCGCTCCCAACGCACAGCCACTCGACGCTCGGGGCAACGCGCTTGAGCAGCGCTGTGCTCCAGTTCGGCCGCTCCATGCAGTGCAGTCCGTCCAGCTTCCTCACCTGCAACACGCAATCGTACTCCGCGTTACCACCTGTCACGTGCGAAACGTTTTTGCCCAAATTTTGCACTCATAGACAGACTATTGACTTTAAGTACATGGTATTGACATATTGTTGAAAGTACATCTGGCTTTTGGTTCCAAAGTAAGTACGTACTTTTCTTTTCTGTTAAAAAGTTCCTAAACAAGTTTATGCAGTTAATTGTTTGTATCTAAGAAGAAAGTACCAAGTGTTGTGGTGGTTGGCTATAGTACCTGAGTGCTGACGACAAAGTCAATTACAGATTTTTTGTGAAGACGAACTTTTTCCAAAATTGTTTACGGTTTTCTACAAAACGAATAAAAAAGTACAGTTCAGTAGACTAAAATAGCAGGAAAAGATCGCTAAGAAAAATCCTCCAACGTCTCGTACGAACTTTCACGTTGCGTAGAGCAGGCCTCACTTTGTCTGAGAAGTCCCAAGACTAGCCGTGTGTACCTCAAAGGATAAAAGTGCGGGAGTGCATAACCCAGCGGTTCCGAACCTTGGGGTCGCGACCCTATTTTGGGTTGCGAAATAACTTTGTTAGGTCGCGGCGTGGTTCCTGGGGTCGAGGGTTAAAATTGGGTGCACAAACTAAACCATGATATTCTGGGTGCACATAGTAAAACATGAAATTTTAGGTAGTACAGTTAGCAGAGACAGAACACACACCAGACATAAGATTTATACTCCCTTACTACATCCTACGAAACAAGACAGAAAAATTGAAAACTAACAAAGATTTGGGGGCATGGGGTCGCGTGGGGGTCGCGAATGTTCGGCTGTGGGATCGCAAAATTTTTAGGCAGTCATTTTTGGGCCGCGAGCTGAAAAAGGTTGGGAACCGCTGGCATAACCCTACCACCAGGAACTAAAACACTCTCACCTTGTCCAGGCCTGGGTTCTGCAGGGTTTCATCCAGCTCTTGAGTGTGCTCCTTTTGCTTGCTTAGCCCCGACAGATTCATGCATTCTTCAGAGCGGAACACCTAGAAAGAAATTTAAATGTTAATGTAAACAGCTATTAGTTATTTCTCCTCCAAAGTCTCCTCACGACATGGGAAAAGATACCCAATCTTCAGATTCTGGCATTTGAACCTTTAACCACATACTAAAAAGAAAGTGTTGCCATACTTAAAATTTTAGACCGGTATAGGCTGTAAAATCAACTTTGGCAGGCTCGTGTTTACTTTTCTTAAAATTTGAGAGATTTTGCCACATGTTAGTCCTTATTACTTTCACCCCAGAAAACTCCAATATAATAAGAGCGCTAATAGAAAGGAGCACCAGTAAAAGGGGAAACGCGTTCTTTTTCCTATCTCCATGGGATGTGCGTAACTGCCAGTGTATGTTGAATACCTTTTCCGTTATTGTCAGACTTTAGGAGGAACAACAAATTATTGACGTAAACTCAGAAACTTGAAGAAGATGGCTTCTGGAAGCGCGAACCTACCTTGACAAGGCTCCTGTCCTGGTGTAGCTGCAGCACCAGTGGGCCAAGTAAAGTGCGTTTGGAGCCTGGAGCCGCCACCTGCAGTTCGCCCTTCCAGGTAGAGCTGGGCGAGTCCACTTGCAGCTGGCACTTGGCCTGGAGGAGAGTGGTGGCGTCCTGCAGCAGCTGTTCCAGGCCCTCCTCCAGTGTAGGCTCCTGCAGGTCCCGGCCCTCGTCCGCCGCCACCCACAGCTCCTTCTTGGCCTCCTCGACGTGCCGCAGCCTGCCGCGCCACTGCTCCAGCTGGGCCTCCAGCACGCCCTTGGCGTCCAGCAGGGCCTTCACCACCTCGCGCGCCGACGTCGCCACTTTGTCCAGACGCTGCACCTTCGGGGCCGCTTCCTCCAAACGCAGCTGGCGGAGGGAGCACACGGAGTGGCCCGAGTCCTCGCAGTCCTCCGCGGCGTCCTCGCCGCAGTCTCGGCACCACAACCTGCGCGACACAATGCATATGACCATGAAAAACTGTGACGGGTAACTGGCTGAAAGCAAAGACAGATTACGCTCTAAAACCACGCAAAGAATTCTCTTCTCAAAGGTACAAAGTAAGTGAGCTGCCTGGACTGCGGTGAACTTTCCTTTGAAAGTGAAACTGATTTACAAGGTTGCGTCAAATGTCCAGCAGAGAAAGTTTTTTGTAAGATACAATGTAAGTTTTTTGCACATTACTATCTTATTTTGCGAAAAAATTATTTCCATCTTGGTATAAATTTCTTTGCATAAAAATTTGTTTAAAATATTGTTATTTTTATTTTTTTTAAACTATTGCAGATTAAAAGCCCATTGTAGTCAATTCTATGACACTACTAGGGATGAGTCTCTCTGATTTTTCACCCACAGATCTGAGCAAGTATGCAAACAAAATTTTACGAGAACCAAAATTTTAAACGTTTCTACTAAATTTCCAAAAAATGTCCAAAGTCACTTTA